AAAGTTTCGACTGCTAGCAAGAAATATATTTTGACAGGACTGAATGTAATAACTGCTCGCACGATCAAATTTGTCTCGTCAGAACATCTATTTTTGTTAACCTCGAAGAGAGATGGAAACTCAAAAAACGAAATGACCCGTCTAAAGGATAATGTCATAAGGTTTTTGTTCGAAGTATCTTGGTGCAAAAACATAATCTTAATTAAGCCCCTAGAGTTAAATACAGAAAGCCATGAGAACGTTAAACGATGCGACTGCGTGAAATCAACCTCTATGTTGGCTAGCAATTCTAATCTACCAGGATTAGTGCGGACTAGTCCAATCATACCTTGCGTGTACTTTGATCTTAATATTTAAGGATATTATCTGTACTTGTGTAATGCGAATGCTTGGTATTTTTAAGCTGACATCGCTGACGATCTTTTATTTGCCACCGGGTTTTTCCGAAAACGTTGAAGCAATGAACAATGAATGTAGAATACGCAGACTTAAGTTAAATCAAGCTTTAAGTGTTACAAGTGGGATGAAGAGGGAAGGTTCGCATCAAGAAAAGCAGAAAAGAACTAGTGGTGCTCAGTTTGACGGACTGAGTGAAGCTGGAGAAATAAATGTAGGAGGGCTTGATTGTGAAGGGCAAATGAATAAATAGCCTAACCCTCACCCCGAGTGTTCCATCATATCCAGTTCGTTCGCAAGTTGCGTAAGGTGCGTACGATCAGCAGCCGTAATGCGCGGTTTATTCATTAGGAGGTACTGCAGTTTCATGAAGTTCTTCAGTACGGACTTGTACTTTGGTTCACGGGAAAGACTGAGTTTCATAGGAGTATACGTCATATGGACTATATAAGGAAAGACAAGGACATCGGACGAGGGCTGTAAGGACACGGATCGCCGATCCAGTTGGTCAAGTCGAAGGGCAGGTGGCTTCTGTGAAGGGAAGTTAAAAAAAGAAGCAATAATTCATGCATTACTCCCAAAATAGCCGCTAAGCGAAGGGTCACGCATGACGTGCAGTGATAGTGAACAATCATGCAAAGCCGCCATGGTGATCTAGCTTTCCGTGATTTTCGACGAATGCTGCACGCAAGTGTCCAGTGAAAGTGTTTTAAAGTAATACTGACTTTCGTTGATGAACGTTCACCGAACGCTATCGGAAATCACTTGTCCCGCTTTCCTTTGGGTTCCATTTCTTGGGCCCCGGCAGCAGCCACAGCAGTTAGTAATCTTAGACAGATAGTATTGCCGGCAGAAACAAGGGAAACTGCAAAGACCATTTCTGGCTTATTAGCCATTGTCAACCAATCATACCCAACTCCAAGTAGTGCACCACCTGAGACTCGAACTCGCGAACTTTTCAATCAGAGTCCAAAGCTCTAAGCATTGAGCTGCGGGTACGTTTCTCGGTGGTTTAGGTCGGGAGATGTTGATACGGAACAAGTGAGTTTCGTTGGCGGTCGGCTAACTTTCATCGATGAGTGTCCATATCTCCCGACCTAAACTGTCAAGACAACGAGCTCG